CATTTCACTATTACCACCATATTTCATATAATTTTTCTCCTTATGTATTATGTACTCTTAAACAATATATTAATATAATTTATGTATTCACTGTTCTTATCTTTTTCTGCTATCAGTGAATATGCAAGGGCTAGAGACTAGATTAGTTCGACTAGAACTACCTCTCTTGTCCTCGCCAGATAGTTATGTATATCTCTATCTTCGTTTTGTACTTTGTAATGTAATTTATCTGGTGAAATAAAATTGTATTGTATTGTATTGTATTGTATCAAATCAGTAGTTTTCAAGAAGTCGTCGAAAATAGCAGTTTTTACAAAAATGACCCAAAATATTTACAAAAATACAATATTGACACAAAATCTGAGAGAGACCCACCCAAGGTAGTAGTATACTAAACATCAAAACACTCAGGCTACCGGTTTTCAAGAAGAAGATGCAAATGCAATTGTTGAAGAAGAACGACAGTTGATTAGTAATCCGTTGCTGTGTCACCTTCGATGAAAGCGGAGCTAAAAATTATTAGTATTCAAGTCGCAAATACAAAACTTGTTATAATTTATGGTTATTTTCTCAATAAAATGATGAAAATATACAATTGTATATTTTTAGTAAGCTTAAGAGCTATAATCCTTACAACATATTATGATGATCATAGTCTCGCCTTGTATAGAATATTTCTGATGTTTTATCTGGTATCAGATTTTTATAATTTGTTACTATAAAACTTGTCAATAGTTTCCTCCCTTATCTTCCGTATCTGTACAAATTATGTCATGATCATATGCATATTTAATTTGTAAGCTTATTTGCTAAAGTAATACACCATTTACGTTCCAAGTTAACACGGTGTTCTCAAATTTTCTGACTTTTACAATTACATGTACGCAATATTATCTACACTTTATTGTGCAATTGTCCTTGGAAAACATTGTTCTTAGTAGAACACCGGCTGCGCGGGAAGTATGTCACACCGGAAATAATATCGCACGTTAACGTTCGACATTTATTCCTGTCCTGATTCTCACATGTGCGTCACACAAACCCAGAAGATTTGTCACATCAGAACGCGTTTACCGAAGGATTATTCAATGTGTGATATTGTTTGATTTTGATTCTTCAACACAAATTATCAAATACATGTATATTAAAAAGGGTAATTATGAATTTGTTTTATCTATGAAGTGTAAAAAAACATTTTTTACTGTAAATGAACCTTTCATTTTATTATTTGTAAAAACTTAAAAGGCCTTTTTTTTTATTTTCTGTAACCTGCACCAGCTCCCTCCTTGTCCACCCTCTGAAATGCAACTGCACTTTATTAATTAAAAACAACAAAACGATTACTTTCTCTAGTTTAATATCTGTGTGTGAACCCATTTTGCGATGGTCAATACTACTTTATGTACGTGTATCGCATGTATATGTATTTACTATTATTGTTTTCATGTTTGTTATTGTTTTATATTGTTTTTTCTTGTAAGTGTTTACTGATTCAAAGGTGAATAGATAACATTATTATTACAAATTGCTTTTGTTTGCTTTCACTCCTCATTTCCCAGTGCTTTTTCCACCTTTTACGGCTGATTATGTACCAAAAACGATATATCCATTGTCTTTGCTCCCCGGGGCTTTGCTCCTAAGCAATTTTTACGGTATCCTCGGGGGCGGACATCCGGGCATTTTCACCGCCTGGCAACCCTCGCGGTGAAAACAAAGGCCCAAAACTCGCAGAAAACGGTACTTTGGGATGATTGTTGAGACTCCCCTGAACAGTGTAATAAGATTTGCACTACGTGTGTAACATGTATAAATTTGGTTGTTCAGGATTACTTCAAAGTTGAGTTTGTGTTGTTTCCGGCTCGACCGGCGTTCCACAGCAGCGCGCGCAGAGCCCATAGAAATGCAAGTGGTGCGGGTCGTAGC